CGTTTTGACGCTACTTTTCAATAAACATATCCAGTTCGATTTCGAACATGGATAATTACTTTCTGCTACATCTAATCATACACCTATCGATTATGAATGGTTTTCCATAAATAGATTTTTAAACAACGCTCGAACAGTTTCATCGTCCATAAGGAAGCACATAAGCGGTCACTTCGTTTATTCATATAGAAGAAACAATGAATAAATTCATTTTGTTAACCCTTTGAGTCCGATGGTAGCAAAAATGCTACACATGTTTTGTGATTATTTTTTACAGCATATTTCATGAAAATTAGTGCTTAATCTCGCACATTTACAAAGATTTGCGTGCAACAGGGGTGAAGATCGGTGTTATGGCACATACTTAACTCTACGTGTTTCTTCGTTCTCTTTCTTTCTTTACATATATATATATTAAGTATATCTATTTCTCTTTCGTTCTGTCAAGGTTTATTCCTTGATATGTTCTTTTGGTTTTTTCCTTCTAATTTCTTACGTTGATTGAACATATCAGATATATTGCCAAGTATGTTATATGATGGAGTTTTCCATCTAAGTTCTTCTATATATACCTCCCGTTTTTCTACTAAAGCATGTGTGGTTTTGTCATTTTGAAAATAAACTTATTATATATCAACTGATACTAATCTACAAGTCGGGTTTCTTGCTGTTTCATTTCTAGAATAAAATTCGTCGAAAAAACAGAAGTGAATGGAATCTGATCAAGAAAGCAGCACAAGTGGTTCATTGTCTGATGAACAAAACGATTTTGACGACGAGAGCGGAAGTGATCTTGAAGAAGAGGAAAATGAAGAAGATCAAGATAAAGAGGAAGATGAAGAAGAGGAAGATCGAGATCAAGATGGAGAAGAATTTGAACGGAATTGGAGTCAAAAATTTACTCGAGACACAGTTTTCTCTCTAAATCAAGTGCAAGGACGAACAACCATCACTTTTACCAAGACCATCAAACTCATTGACGTCTTCAACAAATTTTTCACAAAAGATGTTATTGAATTGATGGTGAAACACACAAATATATATGGAGAGAAAGAGTCTTTAGCACAGAATCGTACAAATGATTGGCAACAGGTGAATGAAAGTGCTATTCGTTCTTTTTTAGGTTTACTAATCATTATGGGTTTACATCGATTGCCTCGACTAAGAGATTATTGGAGTAGAAACAAAATATTTCATACAGAAGTGGTTGCTGATGTTATGCTGAGAGATGAATTCTACCGAATATTTACTGCATTTCATTTAGCAGATAATGCAAAACAAGATCAATTTGAAAAAAGTTCCGACCAATTCAAATTATTCAACGTTTTCGATTTCATTTCATTACTGAAAAGAAACTTTCAAGAAAATTTTACTTTGGGAACCAACGTCTGCATTGACGAAAGCATGATAAAATTTAAAGGAAGACGTTCGTTGAAGCAGTATATACCTTTGAAGCCCATAAAGCGAGGATACAAAGTGTGGTGTTTGGCAGATTGCTCAACCGGATATCTTTATAATTTCAATATCTACTCTGGCAAACAAGAGAATAGACAAGGAACATTAGGCGAGAATGTTGTATTGAAGCTTATTAGCAAAATTAATCTAGTAGAACACCAGTTATTTTTTGATCACTATTTTACATCGATCACTCTACTGTTACAACTGAAAAGGAAGAAAATCGGAGCAACTGGCACAATCAGAACTGATCGAAAGTTATTTCCGAAAGAACTCTTACAAAAAGATAAATTAAAACGAGGTGAATATAAGTATTGTACTTATAACCAAATATCAGTGGTCAAGTGGCAACACAAGAAACCGATATTTATTTCAAGTAATTGTTTTGATCCGAGAAAAACGGAAACGATTAGTAGAAGAGAAAAAGATGGCTCGAAACAAGTCATTATTTGTCCACAACTGGTATTTCAATACAATAAATACAAAGGTGGTGTTGATAGGTTTGATCAACGAATCTCTTGCTGTTCAATTGACAGAAAATCCAAGCGAAACTGGTTCCGTATATTTATTTACTTTCTTCAAGCAAGTCTTTCGAATGCATTCGTCTGTTATAATGATTTGAGTGAACAGAAGATGGCTTACATAGAATTCCTCTCTTCTGTCTCCACGTCACTAATTGCTGATCAAAAGTTATCGAAAACAAAAGGTGCACCGATTCACTTTTCCGTCAAAAAGCGAAACCAAATTCAACAAACGTTGCAAAATAAATCTTCACCTAGTAAATTACTAGCACATATGCCTATAGCTGGGTCCAGAGGAAGATGTCGATACTGCAGTACAAGATCAAGTCCAGTGTTTAGCAGCATAAAATGCAGTTTTTGTGTTGTTTCTCTTTGTGTGAAACGAAATAAAAATTGTTTTTTGTCATTTCATGAAACTTATGTATAAGGTTTGAAATCAATAAACTTTACAACTAAAGTTTCCATTCAAGAACAACAAAATTCAATAAAACCTACATTGACTAAATTATATGAACGTGAAAAATAGCTTTCTCATGTGTTTTTCTGTGTAAAATGAGCTAATCTGACAGTCTCGTTTACGTCAATTCAGAAAAAATAATTTCGGACTCAAAGAGTTAAAATCTATGATGTACGGCTTCCTATGTTTTTGTTATTGTTGTCGAACAGCGCGACCATTACATTGTGGACCTAATGGTGATTTTGCTGTTAACATTGTACTGTCTTCACTTAATTTCAATGTGCCAATAATCGGCAATGTAGTTGTGTAAGTAGACGGCTTCATAGTCGGTAGGAAAAATGTCGAAAGTTCTTTACATTGGCCAGCTAATTTGCCAGATATCTTCATGAAGAAATAGGCAAAGTCTTTTACTTGCACTTCTCCAGTAAGACAGCAACAGACTTGTTTATCACATAAAGGACTGACGTTAAATTTCCCAAGCCAATTTGGACTTGCGCCTGAAATGAATCAACAAGCAAAAGTTACTGATATTACATGAATCAACTCACTATCACTCAATCCAATAGCTATGCACAAGACGAGTAACAAAATAAGCGAACGAAACATGTCACTTTTGAATATTGTTTCGTTAATATTCAATAGTTCGATGTCTGTTTTATAGTTCTTGTTTAACAATATATTCCATCGATGCTACCTCCATGCTGAGTAAACAAAAGGATTAACTGTTTTTTCGTTTTTATTTATTCATACTTTTGACAAAAGCTAATAAATCGGACTAGAATAAAGATATAATATTAGTCTATGACACAACGAAAAAGAAGCGATTTAATTGCATTTTTCAATTATATGGATAAAGCTTTCAAATATGTCACTGCTTTGTCATAGGCACTGACTATGCATTATTTTTTGTCATAAAACAGTTAAAAGAGCCATTGTCTAGAATGATTTGCCTAAGTTTTTACCATTTTATTCGTTAAACATCGATTGTGCACTGTCACTATAGTTTTTCTAATCACTCGAATCAACGTGTAAATGTACTTCTGCCACCAATCCATTCAAATCCACAGTGACATCTACGAGCAAAATCTAGTTAGACTTAGACGCACATCGAGATATATCTTACTATCATTACACTTTTCTTCAATGTGGATCACGTAATTGTACTTGAAATCAGCCATCGACTTTACAATGATTACAATAACTGACAGATTGATTGATTTTTCAAAATCACTTCGAAGTCGACAAACTCTTTCGCGTAAGGTCTGTATATTTTCTTCAAAAAATCATATCATGGTCTATGTTTTCGGAAAGGTCCTGACCTATTTTCAGAAGGACTCCCTTGATGTTCGTTATATGTTGTTGTAACGATAGATTAACTTCATTGTGCATCTTGGAAGTTGTCTGGTGGACTTTCACAACTTTATTATTATGCCATTATTTTATTTCATATAAAAAGATGTTCTTCTACGAAATTTATACCAATCAATCATGAAATCTTATATGCACAGGACGATGCTTTAAACAGTCAGTACACCAATGTATTCCATCATTATTGCATCGTAAACAGATATACATGATGGTCTTAGTATTTTCCCGTATCTTTTGAAGATTTCATGATTTTGAGCTGTGTTTTTTTTCGAAAGATTCTCTGTTCAAATCCCCATGAAACTACAGATGAACACCTGTTATTCACATACATTGGAAAATTAAATTGCACAAGGTCGGGGGTACATATATGATAAACCTATGCCCGTTTTGTCTTTGAACCACCGACATATTTCATATGCTGGAAGATATGTGAAGATAAGCAGAACCAATGATAGTATAACTGTGATGAATAGCTAGGACAGGAATTTATTTCACTTGCAGAGACTCAGTTCTCGTTGAAGATATCTGAAAACTTGTCGTTATCACGTCAAGTAATAGAAAAACGTCACAGTTAAATAAAACACTACCATATATTGGAATTCTTCATAAATAAAGACAAGCTTTCTCACTTTCATAAGCACGTTTTTAGCGTAGCGCTCAATATCTCTAAAATATAGAACTCGAATAAGAATTGTATACAAACGAAACAAAAATAAGTAAGTTGTGAATATTGCAATGAAGGTTGATTTTTAAACCGATTTACTTGCTTCGTATCTTTTCTTCAGTTCTCACTTCTTCTTCTTCTTCTGCAACCTGCTATATGCGTCTTCATGATTCTGTCGACTTGCTACTCTTGCGTTCTCACCATTGATAGTGTTTAACACAAAGGACTTCATGTATGATGAGAATGGTTTTAATAGCTTCACAATCCTAGTCCCATACAAACTGCATTGAAATTTTTTCTACAAAGACAAAGAAAGTTCTGAAAAATGCAACACGATCCCTAGTGTTTTGGCCAAATATGGCCGTTACTATTGGGGTGTGGGTGTTAATTTAGGGAAGATCCACGTCCATACCCACCACACCCACATCCCATACGTACATCCACACCCTCTCACACTCACACCCTTAAAATTTGTGGATAGCAATACCAAAAAAAAAGAGGTTTATCGAGCAAGGCACAAGAAAAAAAAACATTTTTATATCTTTTTTACATTATCAATAGCTGTTTTCACACTTTGAATACGAGAATGTGTAGGTGGAAGTGTCATTTGTAAGATACCAAGTGCCTTTTCCAGAAATGAGAGTGCTTTTGAATAGTCACTCATGTTATTATACATTAGACCAATGTTATTGTAGGATTCAGCCAAATCTGGATGATTCGGAGGCAGAACTTTTTCTCTTATTTTAAGTGCTTTTTCGTAAAATTGATGTGCTTTCGAATAGTCACCCATTTTGCTATACACTGAACCGCAGTTGCTGTAGGAAATAGCCAAATCGGGATGATTCGAAGGTAGAGTTTTTTCATCTATTTTAAATGCTTTTTCGTAAAATTCTAGTGCTTTCGAATAGTCACCCATATCTTTATATACTCCACCAATGTTGTTGTAAGAATCAGCAAACGCGGGATCATCCACAGGCAGAGCCTCTTCATAGATTTTAAGTGCTTTTACGTAAAATTGAAGTGCATTCGAGCGATCATCCATCTCGTTATACGCTAGACCTATATTGTTGTAAGAAGTAGCTAATGAAGGATCGTCTTCCGGAAGAGTTTTTCGGTAAATCTCAAGAGATTTTTCGTAAAATGAAGCTGCTTCTCTGTATTGTCCTTGATATGTTTTCAGCATTCCAAGCATATGATAGATATGTGCCTTTTCACTGTTGTCTGATGTTTGCTCAAGTAGTGCTGTATATAACTCTTCGGCCTTGTCGAATTGGCCTATTTTGAGCAGCAATCGACCCAATCGGTCCCAGCCTGTTGAACCTGAAACTTCTTTGTGTATGCGATCAGTTAGTTGATGAAGATTTTGGTCATCGTCTGATGTAAGCTTAAGTTCAACTTGATAAAGTGGACGGTTATTGTCAAGTTTTCGAACGGTACCAATTCGAAAAATTGTATTCATCGAAAAGAGGATTTCCTCTTCCTCCGCGAATTCACTCACCTCACGAATGGAAGCGAACGGAGTAGATGACACCTTGGGATCTATGCTCATTCCAAAGAGGATATCGACCACACCCTTTTTTCTTGATTCACAGTTAGCGAAATCCAGGGAGACGTGTCGCTTCGTACTAGTGGATAAAAAATTATTGAACGACATCAGTCCACCTTTGCTTTGCACAAGTTTATTGAAGTCAACAATGGACAATCCCTGACCTCGATAAACTGATAATGGCTTATGATACTGGTTGGCCTGTTCTTTGTGTAAAGCTTCAATTTGTCGGTGTACATCGCAAAGAAAAAAACCCATTCTAATGATGATGTCACCATTTAGTGTTCGTAGTGCTCCATTAAGCATTTTGTATGTGAAACACTCACGTGTGTACCACCAAATGGCCTTTGATGGTTGATAATTGTGTTCAAATTCATTGATATTTTTTGTTTCCACATCATTTTTCATGTATAATTCTCGACAATAGGTGGCCAAATCTTTAATGGCTTGGTGATCATGCTTCATATCGAGAAGAATTTCCTTGAAAATTTGAGAATACATGAAAGTAGGGTCCAGTTGATTGAGATTTTTGCTGAAGCATTCTTCATTTGTAGTCATAATGCTCACCGATATATTATTTTGATTGCATTCTTTAACTGCCATTGCCAGTGCTTCACATATGGGCTTGATTGAGGTGTGAACACCTTTTATTTTCAACCAGTTTTTAGCCCATTCTTCATTTTGCTCTTTGTTATGACAAAAAATGTAGATGGCATTTAATTTTGAAATACCATGAATATCTGGCATTATTCTTTGAGCAAGTACTCCTGAGGATATGATGAATGCTGTTTCTTGGTTACTTTCGTGAAGATATTGAATGCACGCTTCTGCTGTGGTGCATGTTTCCACTGCGTTGATGACACTACGCAATTGTATGAGTATATTTTGACGATCTTGATTCATTTGATCAATATTTTCATCGACCCAAATGACCAAATTATTTTCAACTATGCGCCGTCGTTCTTTTCCGCTCATTTTGTATGTAAATTGTGATGTTGGATCAATAATTTACAGTCACACAGTAGTGAATTAATGTTGGAAAACAAGTCACCAATTCTGTTCATAAATTTGATGCATGCTTTTTTTGTTCTTCAATATTTTTCTACAACTTCAAACATGTGATGCGCCATCTTTGTTAACATTCATTGGTCAACTTCATCTAGTTTCAATTCAAAATACCGTTGTCAACAATAAGCCAAAGAGAAAAGATATATAAAACACAATCATTTTTTTTCTATTGTGATTCTTTCTCGTTTTCAGTTATTTTTTTTCAAATATATATGAATTGCTTCAATGTCAATACGTGGCATACCTTGTCTCACTCGTGTTTACTTTTCTTTGAAGCTTTTAGAACGAGCGTTTTCTCTTTAGTGGCAAGAGCGAAAAAAGTAATAACAAGAAATGTAAATTCAAGTTTGAGAGATATTCCTACTACTTAGAAATTTGGAATTCAAGGACAATGTAGGAAATTCAAGAGATTCCAATATCGTTCATATCAACTGCTCATAACTACCATGAAAATCAAAAAAATTAAGAAAATTCAATGAAATTCTCGAAATTGAAGAAGTTCAAGAGAGCTTTATAAGTTACATATCAACTCCTTGTAACCGAGATGGAAATGTAGGAAAACGTTGGAGTTCAAAAAAATTTGATGTGCACTGGTATTTTTCCATGTCTCTGGAATTTGTATAGTTCCTTCTCGAATGACTTGGGTTTCATAACTATTGTAAGTGGTTGTTACCGAGGATAGGAACATCTTTTGAGTGTGTGAGTGTAAGCATTCAGTTCTCGCACACCCACATCCTTCTTATATAGTATCGACGTGCTGCTTTTTCTACAACATTAAATGTGAGTTTTTGTTCATTGTTCATAGTCAACAACAGACTTCATTGAGTTTTAAGAAAAAAATATGATTGCCAATAAAAAGAACGAAAGAGAAAAATTCAACAACATGGTTGATTGGATTTCTTTTCTTTTCAAATTTTGTTTGATTTTTGTCAATGCCTTGACTTAGGTGGCGTAACGTTGGATATTTTGTCTCATACATCACTATTTTTAAATGTGAATGTCTCTGTTTTTCTAATAAGGATGAAAAAGGAACAAGAACATCATTACTTCGATGGCTTTCTTTGTACTCTTATTGGATATCCTGATTGTGTGAATGAAGGAATGAAAAAACTAAATTGAGCGTTGAGAGAAGTAGCAATCAGAAGACATTTCTGCTTGGATGTAGGTGTCTGCGAGGTTGCAACTACAGAGCAATACCCACCCCACACCGACACCGGCTGAACCACACTCAGATTCCATCCACCATGATCGAGGTAAAAATAACAACACTTAACAATAGATTATTAAAATCGAATCGAATCACTCTAAACATTAGAAATTAATTTTCATCGATCGATGATTTTCCAAAAATACGAGGACAACCTAAAGTACATAAATAATATGACCAAATGCAATTGATCAGAAAGGTAATCTGAACTTTGATCAAAAGTAAAAATGTCGAAATGAATGTCGAAAAAAATTATACAAATGTTGAAAGGTGAAATATCGAAAGATACATAGCATATAGAAGTATAAAAATGTCGAAAGGAAAAATATTGGAGGACAAAAAATATCAAAACAGAATTAGATTTTTTCTACTGAGCATATAAAATGATCAAGAGTTTAATGTAATTGAATTTTATTATTAAATAAGAAATGGATAAAAGACAAGCAAAAAATTCTCGATAAATCAATGGAACATGTTAGTTAAAATTTTTGGGCGTATCATTTGTTCTTCGCCACGATGTTTAACCAAACACAATGCAATTAAAATAAACTTACAATGACATCTTTATGAATAATATTTGGAAAGCATATCTCTGAACAATTTTATTTTATAAACTTCGACAGTACGATATTTCTACTTTTCGACATTTTGCTTTTTACCAAAGTTCAGAGAATCAATCAGTAATACAAGCAATACAATGCTCTTACCTGCATCAAGATATGAATTGTCATTTATTCAATAATTAAGCGGATCAATCCAAAATTTAAGTTGTACAACAGTTAATTCCGAAAATTTCTGTGCATCAAACTTGATTAAAATAGACCTAACACAATTATTATTATCATTAAACAATAATTATTGCCAGTTTGATGGAAAATATTATAGACAAAACCAGGCTTTACATATGCGTAACACTTTGTGGCTCATTGTAGCTAAACTTTACATGAATGAATACATGAAAAAAATTGTTTAAATTATTTTAATTTTTAAATTCTGAAGGTATGTCGATGACATTCTTATAACAATTCCAATGAATGAAAAACATGTTGAATCATATGTTGATGGGCTTAATGAAAAGAAAAATAAAATTAGTTTCACTTATGATTATGAAAGAAACAATACCAATAAATTCCTCGATAAGATATTGTCAAAACACAATGATGATATGATTAGTATCGAACGGCATAGAAAACAAACAGTATCGGTTAGACTATTGAATTACTATTCAGATCATGCACAATCTATTAAAATTAAGATTATTAAAAACCTGGCATCCTAACTACTTCAGATAACCGATAATGATAATAACCAATAGCATAATATAAATAAACTTAAAGCAATATTTATTATGTCGAAGTACCCGACGCATCATCGATAAATATATTCAAGAAACCATGAAATACATTAGAACTACAACAGATGGAAATGGTAAAAACAACTAAATGAAATACCAAGTGGAAATTAACATTTGTACATGGAATAGAAATACTAAAAAAAAATTATAACGATTAGAAATTAAAATATTTTTTTCCTATCCTATTAAACTTCAAATGGTAGTTACGAATCTAGTTGAACAAAAACCCATATCGAATATTTGTCAAGTAACATGTAAATGTGAAGGAATGTATGACGGATAAACCAAACTTGGTTTAAATAAACGCATATCATAACACAAACAAATAATTAAAAATAAGAGCAACAAACCAAATTCGAAGATTGTACAAGAGCATTAAGATGATACATATGAATGCACATTTGATTTGGATAAAGCATTTTTGTCATTAACAATGAGATTGGTGGCAAAAAATATGAATCAAACAATCGATTTATTCCATAGCTGACAAGTCGATAAATCGTTATAATACAATTCATATACAATAGTTCCCTCTACCATATGAAACATCCACAATAATAAAAATAACCATAGAAATGAGAAGAGAAGGGAATTGATCTTCTATGAGAATGCAAGATGGGGATAGTGGAACAGAAGAAAAAGACCACTAGTCCATCTCTTCTATCAGTTTTACCGTCTTGCTGTCCTATTATCATATGATTAATATTCAAAAGAAAAGAAAAAGAAATTAAAACAGCAAAAAATATGCAATCATGTACAACGTCTGAACAATGTAAACTGAATTGTAGAAGCTTCATGCCATTATTTTGCTTTTGTTTTGATTTTTTGCTCTTGAATAAAGATCTACAAAAATGTACGTATATAATAAAAATTCAACATGTTCAATCAAGTAAAAGTAAAATTTTCATCACAAAGAAAAACAACGTATGGTTTGGTATTATTCATGTGATTGGTTTGCGCACATTGTGATGCACTTTTTTTAATATTAATATTGTATATCTGTACGAAGGACGTATGAAAGAACAAGCAAAGTAATGGTTGATTTCGCAATAGAAAAAAAAGCAAGATATGCATCGAAATTATTTCTCATCATTTTTTGTGATACAGTTGAATGCGCAAGGTAAAATGTATTTTCAAGGATATATACGCAAGGTTATGCTTTAGCGTGAAGAACAGAACGAAGTAGATACTACAGTGGTATTCTTGTCATGGACAAGCGATATTCTTTAAGAATACAAGAAGCAAATGTATGCATTTGCGAAAGTTTAGTCTCTTTGGAAGGTC